AACGTTTGAATGATTAAACGACTGTTCAATTGAACAATCAATCGATCAATTGAACGTTTGAATTTTGACACATCCCCTCCCATAAGAGTGGAGCTATGGACGTGATTACACTGAGAAGAACCGTGGATTGAAATGCACACACACGCACGGCAAGAATGAAATTCCAACATCCCACTGCAAGAATAAAAAAATCCCTGCACACCGCATCGCAAGAATGAAATGCCCACACACGCACGGCAATTATTAAACGCACACACCGCATTCCAACAAGCAAGCAGGATATTACCTAATTGTATTGTCAGTAACTACCACAATAATGTGTACTGTGTCTGCATTGGTGTGGTGATGGTGGCTGTGTGTGTACATGTGTCATGTGCTGTGTCTGCATTAGTGCGGTGATTGTGGCTGTGTGTGTACATGTGTTGTGTGTACTGTGTCTGCAGTAGTGTGGTGATGGTGGCTGTGCGTGTACCTGTACATGTCACAACAAGTACTGTGCCTGCAGTAGTGTGGTGATAGTGTCTGTGTGTGTGTACATGTGCCACGTGTACTGTGTCTGCAGTAGTGTGGTGATGGTTGCTGTACCTGTGTCACGACGTGTCCAGCAACTTCATCAGTGTCATTACGTTGGCGGTGTACGGACCTACGTCCGTGTTTCCATCGTACACCTGGAGGCACACAGACAGTGTGGTAATAAGATAAAATTAGGCTGCACTTTACCTATAATAGCACAGGTTGTTAATCCTCAATTAAAGCTAAATCCACTGTGGGTGTTTGCATTCGTTTTTAGTTCCAGAATGCTTTTAAAAATAGATTTTTAATCGATATGAACACACCAAATACTTTTGTGTTCTGTTCACCTCTCACAAATGTACGTTCAGTGTTTTAAAACAAACGCTCAATAAAGGTGCAGCAAATATTATATATATGTGCTGTGAACATTTACGCTCTGCAGGTCTTTCCCGTTTTTATTCGTTAGATACCGTGACATCAACTCAATCAGATGTGCCTTTGCGATGAGCGTTCTTCGGGGCACATGCGAGATTTAATAATTAATTCAAAACGCTTGAATACCATTGAAGTACACACCAACAACAACATCATGTTATTCTGCTAACAGAACGTTTCTTACTTTTATCGGTGGGAAACAGGGGTGAGGAGACGCCAATTCCTTGACCGGACTGTACGTAGCAATCAAGTGCAGCCAGACTACATCTGGCTCAATTCCAATCAAATGCTGAAGCGCCACCATCGCCGCCTGCAACAACATTAATTATATATTAATGCATCACATGACTATGCAATCTACTTTTCATGCTTATATACCTTCTTTATACTCCCTAATTTGCCGGTGCATTCGATGTAACAAAACGCTCGACACAAACACAATCGCCATTAATTCGAAACTCTTGCGTGGCGCCCAGACGCAGGAGATTCATGATGTGAACACAATGCGTTATAATAACAATGCGTCGCGCAAGCAATAGTGCCCGCTCAGGCGGGCACTATTGCTTCATAGTGCCTGCGACGTTATCCAATAGAATTTCAACGATTTATCACGTGATGCACTAAGTAGAAATAAATTTGCATATCACTGCACTATATGTACACAGTAATGTACAGGTAGTGTATACGCCATATTTTTCGCATACAGATAGTTTCGCGAATTCAGATTTGACAGACAATTTCGCGAGAGGTTATTTTCGCGGTCCGTGAATTAAATATTCGGTATAATTCGGTATAGTATGAATTATTCGCGTATTGTAATTTTTGTGGTCGGGGATGCATTCGCGAAATTCGCGAAAATTAAACCATCGTGAAATATACAGCGTCTACAGTATGTCCCCTTTTACGGCAGGGTTAGGTTCCAGTAAAACAGGGTCATGAAATGAAATGTTGTAAAATAAGACCAAATTATAATGCAATTATTGCAATTATTCCACCCACAATGCACCACGAAAAACAAAAAAGTGCATATTGCATGTTTGGACTCACAGGCATTGCTGCGATGTGTTATTGAGTTGAAATTTTTTTGTTATTTTCAATTTTTTTAGGTAATTTTGAAAAGGTCTTTAATGTGAAAAGTCGTAAAATGAACCATTAAGGGGAAAAAGGGACCTACCTGTATTCACTTACTTACGTTATTCATCATTCCTCTCCAGTGAATAACGTCATCAGGTGGTAATGCAAGGCCCCCTCCCCCCAATCCCAATACCAAAGCAAATATTATAATAAAGGAGTATATATATCTCTTTTTAATTTAGTGCTTGAAGGAAACAAAGGTTAAAATATTAATAACACACGTGCATGCACGCACGTACGCATAACATACGAATGAATTCACCTGTTGGAGAGCTATCGGTTGGCCACTGTGTAGGTAGGGTATGCAGGCTTTCACAATGTCATCACATTCCTTCTCGTTAACCTGCAGCTGCACACACAACCGCCCAACTCTCTGCAGTAGTGCCACCTGGAGCTTGAAGACTAGTGTGTACTCATAGTCTGGCCGGCAGCAGCAGCTGTGCACACCGACAGGAACTCAACAGGAGCAAGACAAAGCAGAGGAGCCGTCTCTGCGGCAAAACTCAATATAAACTCAAAAGCATATGCCCACACTCAATTCAGAATAGTTTCTATTTCAACAGACATAATTCAATTATATAAAAACAGAGATAACTTTCATTGAGCACAGAAATTGCATTGTTTGAATCAAGTATTGATGCATTGCAGTGTTAGTCCACGAACGTTACTACTTTAATACCAGACAAACACACAGCCAGTCAGTGAACAACAACGAGGACAGCTAAACCATAACATTTAAGAATGCCGGAGGTTTAAAGTAGTGCAGTTCTAAAACCGGAACATTGGAGCCAGTGTATTATTCACCACTACAGCTGACCAAATGCGAGGCAGCTGTAACGCAGTATCACGTGTTTCACCCATGCATGGTATGCTGTGAGATCTTCGATGACCCACCTAAGTTTGCTCTGCTGCAGCAGGAAATCTGCGAGACGCTTCCACACCTCTGCCACGGTGCGCTGCCGCAGGAAGTCACCGCAGCAGTCAGCTATGCAGCACAGCGTCATGAAAGCCTGTCTGAGTACAGGCAGCTCCTTGTCGGAAAAACGCAGCACCAGTGGGCTCCAAACCTTGTGTATCATTGGCAGTAGATCGTCTGCAAAACCAAGAGTCACTAAAGTCTGCAGTAAATGTAATCGCTGCTGTTGCTGCCATCACTAACGTCAGTGCGATTGCCTGTTTCCTCATTAATTGCCATCACCTTTGCTGTCGTCTCTATCCCCACTATCACCATCGTCGTCATCATCATCATCACCGTCACCACCACCACCACCATCATCGTCATCACCATCGTCGTCGTCGTCACGGACAATTTCCGACATCATTTTTATAACCATTATTATCACCACCATTGTTGTCAGCGTCACCATCATTGTCGTCATCTGGCAGGATACAAGACGTGTATAAATTCCTGCTAAGAACCTCTCAGGGGTTCACCCAGCTCAACAAGGGTGTCTTCCGTTACTACTGCTCAACTCTACAGGGTTTCACTCGCTCACTGCGCTATCAGCCATGTTACTATATGCCTCACCTTCACGGTCCTTGAGAGCGAGAGCAGCGTTTTGCACGATGTCCATCACGAGTAGCTTCTGGCTCATGTCAGGAGCACCCAGAAGGTGTACACACCGCTCCATCACCTGAAACACATCAACATGCTGCCGTTGAACCTAATACTAACTTTGCTGCAACCTCAGCAGTACTGTAACCATAATCAACAGCAAAAGTAACATTAATAGCAGTAGCAATCGCAGTACCGGTAGCATTAAGAACAGTAGCAGTTGCAGTAGCATTCCAAATTTAGAAGAAGCAAAGCAGTAGCACTAGCAATAGTAGTAATTACAATAGCAGTAATAGTAATTACAACAGCAGTAGTAGTAGTTACAGCAGCAGTAGCAGCTGATTTGCATCAACTGGGAGTTCATTGTTAGTGTGGCTGAACCGTTTTTCGACCATATCTACTGACAGGACTTATGATACAGACGCAAGTGGTGTCTCACAAAATGCTCAGCATATTCCCACGGACACTATTACTGCATACACACGTAACTTTCATTATGTATGCAGTGCACCTGTGCATTACCAATACTAAAAAGCTCAGCTGTAATATTCATATCTCAACTACCAATACTAACAATATCCACAACAATGCGCATACCTCAACTACTAGCTTGACATGTAAAGGTGGGGGTGGCTTCCCCTCCTCCGCTTCCTCAGATTGTTCATCTTGTCCCGCAGCATTCTCTGCATCTGCTCCCATTTCTGTTTCCCATTCGATGTCCTCTGGTAAGTGATCCTCACTCTGCAAATCCTCTGCCTCCTTCTTAAGGCGTTGATATTCTAGCAGGTAGGACCGCAGCGATTCACATCCCGCGCCGTCGCTCCCTCGCGCATCGTTTTTAGCATCACCATCGTGCTATAATGATTTCAATAAAAACAGTTACAGACACACCAGGTCAGCTTAAATTGTGAAGATATCAGTCACAGCCAGACATTAATGAGCATCCTGCATAGTAGAACAAATAGGTTTAATGGGGGTAGGCAAGCAAACGTGTGAGTTTCAATTGTTTCTCTTGTTAACCAACAATTAATCAAAATAAATGATAAAAGATTATTCTAGGTGGTTGTGACTTTCAAGTCAGAATTATTGCTAGTAGGATAAGCAGCAGTGGCGATTACAGCCATTTGCAGCAGTACTGTAACCATCACTAACAGCAAAAGTAGCACCAATAGCAGTAGCAATCGCAGTACCGGTAGCATTAAGAACAGTAGCAGTTGCATCAGCAGCAGTTGCAGTAGTGTTAGAAGAAGCAAGCAGCAGCACTAGCAGTAGTAGTAATTAGTAAGCAGCAGTAGCAGCTAGTTTGCGTCACCCTCCTGCTTGTACTCACACTGCCAGTTGGTGGTGGGTACCATCTCAATATTGCAGTGACCAAAGCTATTAAAACCTTCAGAAAGGGCAGCCCCTTGTAGCTATGATAGACATCCAGGTTCGAAAAGATCTGTAAATATAACACTAAGCTCTTAAGAATATTTTCACCACATAAACACACACATATATATATATATATATATATATATATATATATATATATATATATATATATATACTACAAAGCATTTCAATTTATCTGTATATAACACTAAGCAGATTTTTAGTTCAACTCATGCTATAGTGTATGATTGTCCTTACACTAAACAAAAGCTACTAGATAGCACAAAGAAACAGAAGATAATAAGAGAAATATAGAGTAAAGTTCAGAATAGAGATTCTGAAAGTATCGAGCCTATATAAAAATTGAATCGTTAATTAGCATTGACTGAGAGAAATTTAGGAACATCATTAGATGACACAAGACAGACATACCTCCTTAACTGTATGTTCAACTAGAGGCAAAATAGAAGCATCACCATACTGCAGCATCACTTGCAGTACAAGTGGCGCCCTCGGGTTCAACCACAGGTGGCGCAACCGCAGCGAGATGCTGTTCACTAAATAGTCAGTGTTGCTGTGGATCAGTGAACCTACCGAGCTAAAGAAAAACGTTTACTTTTTTAAGTGCACAATCCCTAAACGTATTCTTCTACTAATATTTCCACAATTGGGGATTCCAGTGCCACCTGTAGTCACATAAATTTATAACTTGATCAAACTGTGGATAATTTAGTTCTGTATCATTAGAGCTCTCCAAAACATGCTAAAACTCTTTGAACACAATTTACCGTCATTAGAAGCATTAAACAAACATTTAAAAAAACGAAAAATTTATAATTTTCAAAGCCATCACAAATCTGCATTAATGCAATGAATGCAGTAAACTTGACTCTTACACTATACTCACACAACTCCTCAATTGATGTCAGTGTAGATAGCCTCTGCGCATATATCTGTTACAGAACAGCGTGTATGTCTCACCTATAGCCACAGTTGGATGCCACCTCAACCAGGGTGAGGTAAGCAGTCTGGGACACCAATGCTGTGTCATCTCCCACCTTCTCCATCACTGGATACAGGCATGTCATCAGAAGAACTCTAAAATCTTCTTCAAGGACCTGTGGTATAACCACAAGCAATTAATTGCAAGTGCTCTCTATTAAACTAATCTTAGAACTTGTAAGAAAACTTACAAAAGCCATGCGTCATACTAAATGAATGAAAGCCTTCAAAAGCTATATATGTGTTAGATAAACATCAGAGAAATCTTAAAAAACTATACACATGTATGTCTTACAAACATATTAAACAGAAAGCCTACAAGAGCTATAAATGTGTCAGAAACACCTGAGAGAAATCTTACAAAAGCTATATACACGCGTTTAGACAAACCTGAGAGAAAGCCTGCAAGGCCTCTAATAAAAGGCAGACGAATAGAATGTTGCTGTTGACATCTTTCAAGCTCGTATCATCTCCTGCTACCAGTGGATGATTTTTCAGCAGCATCAGCCGATCCGACGCATGCTGTTCATCACACACACGGCGGGTGTAGATACTCGTAGGCAAGTGCCAGTGTTCGTTCTGCACAAACTCTTCCACCAATGACCTGCAAGGCATCAACAAATCAATGATATAACCTCCAAAGCTTCAAGTCGGCTTTGTCGTCTCACTGGCTAAATAAACACGACTAGTAAGGCAACCTGCACACACTTTACTGTAAGGTTTCCAGACTAAAAGAAATCATTGGACTTTAGAGGAACGTGAGTAATTATGAGATTTCCTCAACAAGTCAACTGTGCTGAACATGCGACTCACTTTGAGATATGCAGTTTATAAGGAGAGAGGGAGAGAGGAATTAAGGGAGGAAGAGAGGGAGGGAGAAAGGGAGTCTGAGAGAGGAATCTCCTTAAATGCATCTTATAATTACTCGTGCTTACCGGATAAGTGCACATAGCCTGCTCCTATCTTCGGAGCCCACTGAGCACTTCTCAACCTCGAGCTCACCGACCAATGCCTGCTGACTCAACTCCTGTGTCGCAGACTGACGTTGTTCGGCCTCCAGACCACGGCCGCTGACTCCAAGCATCACGTTGCTGAGTATGAGGATCACCTGCTTCCTGTGTATGGCCGAGTCGCGGAACAAGTCCATGAAGTGATCCACGAGGATGTCCACGTCACCTGAACAGCAAGCACTAGTGAGACAAGCCGTATCCTTCCTACTCACGAGTCGCGACGAGTATCGCATACATTGGCTCCCAGTTTTAGTTGCTGACCAATTGAAAGCTACAACCACCCAAGCAGATAGAGGGGAACATACTCTGGGTGCCAGTTACAGCTGTGGACAGGGAATAGCAAAGACAGGGGAGTGTGCTGTAGAGGATGCCATGATGGGAGAATTACATGTCCTGGGACGTATTTAATTCCCTATTTCATTGTCAATCTGCTTGACTAGTAGTACTAGTAGTAGTAGTACTAATGACTGTACTATAATACGTACTTAGAACAACATTTCAAATTTGTATGATGTTGCAGAAATATTTTATACCATAATGTCCAAGCAGGCGACAGGCCAACATGATCTCCATATATATTTTCTCATTTGAAAAGCTGCTGAACGTTTTCCGAGCCTTTGTCTGTGTTTGTACTTCTTTCTCTTTGATAACATTCCCCGAGCCTGCAAACAACGATAGAGTCCACGTCATTCAAAACATCACAAACGATTTATATTTTTGCAATTCCTAACGTGCAGGTACAACGATAAGTATACCAAGAACGCCTCTCTCTAACTTCTCCAACCACTCACACACTACTCATGTGTTTTACGTATTCGACCAGTAGTTAGGTGCCCATACAAGCAATGCTCAACTACCTCAGCTAGTATAAGTATACCATGAACGCCTCTCTCTAACTTCTCCAACCACCCACACACTACTCAATGTTTTATGTGTTCGACCAGCAGTTACGTGCTCATACAAGCAATGCTCACCTGCCTCAGGTGTGTTAATTAATGCTTACCTGTGCCTGGAGTCTGCTCCGTGATCGTCGCTCCACTGCAGTCCAGCTCCAGCGTCTGCAGCAAAGCGATGGACAGTCTGTGCAGGTGAGGAAGGGAGGCGAGGAGATGCACAATCTGAGATCGCAGCAACCTGATGTAGCCTGTCAGCACCCGCAACGTTGACAGCCTCACGTCGTCTCCTGCACAACAGAGCAGCACAAGCTCATCACAGTAAATGCTGGGATGAAGCACACAACTATCCCTTATTCTCATCCCAATAGGTGCATGCCCTGTGATTGGGCCACTACAGGTAACACCTATCTGATATGTGCATCACCCTCGGCAGGCCGCTACAGGTAACACCTACCTGACACGCGCATCATCCTCGGCAGGCTGCTACACAGGGAGTAGAAATTCTCCTGGAGGATATTCACGAGGGGTTTCGCGTCGTCCCCACTGCACCGCTCGCTGAAGCGAGCCAGCGATTCTCGTCCAGAGCGCGCCACCTGATCGTAGTCGTCGCCGCTCAGCGCCACCAGTGTCTCGACGATAAACGGCACGCTACTGCTCAATGAGCTGAAACCGAACAAGGATGGGTGTAAGAATATGGTACCTGTTAACTCATGTAGGTGCACGTGTAGGTGTAGGTGTGTCGTGTAGATTTACCTGTTAAATCGTAGTGATGGTGCACCCCAAGATAAATTTAAAATGATTGTTTTAAACATTAATCTAGTGCGACATACACACCATAGCTGAATCTTTTGATGGATGTAAGAAAATACAGTCCGATCTCGTATAATGGTGGTAATTGGTTTCAGAAAAACCATCGTCACGCAAAATTACTGTTTGACAAGTGTCGGAATTACATGTGAGAACCTTGCTCCAATTATTGACCATCGAGATTATGGTAACTCATATATGTTATCATGGAATTTCTAATATGGCCTAGGTAGTATCTCTGCCTATAACAAACATACAATTACCCACAAAGATCAAACAAGCAAGATCAGAGCTGCGTTATCGAGTAGTGACGCACCTCTGCCAGATAGCGTGGCTTGTTTAACGGGAAGTAGGATATCACATCAACAGGTTTATTGATCTTTAAAGAACTGACCTGCATCATACTGTTCGTGCGGTTATCAGGGGTAAACACACTAAAGCCACACTATATGATAATGTCCAGGCCTCGATTTCTAGTCACGTAGCATCTTACCCGGTGCAGTGAGTCAACAGTGCATCAGCCCATGCGCCAAGGGCTAGCCGCACCTTCCAGCTGCTGTGGGATACCAGACCAGCCAGTCTCTGAACGAGTACCTGAAGCTTCTCGGCAGCTGCTACAGTCCATGCCTTGTCTCTAAGCACTTTTAGGTGATCTATGAAATACAGATAGGTAATGCAAACAAAATAACTACGATGTTTGCATTGCACAATGACTCATGGTTTGAACTCAACCATGTGTTTTTTTGGTCTAAGACAACACCTTGCGTGAGATTGCATTATTTGTTTCGTAACGACTATCATTAAAACACTGTTGGTCAACAAAGGGTACTACTGATAACAGTGTCGTTAGTCAAAACAGAGGTCATTCACACGAATCATAAAAAATTGCAAGCAAATTCACTTGGGTTCAGAAACCATTGACATTTTACAAGGCACAACAAACTTTACACTGCATACAGCGACTGGTGCAAAGGCACCTGATCTCTATACCCGATACGATTTGCCTAGACCTAGACCTTACTCGGTCATTCAGATGTTTGCAAAGGTCCGGGCGACTGTATAAGCTTGCTATATCAACACAGCTGGCGCCTGCAGCTTTGTATCATGCTGTCTCAGCATCACAGCACCTGTCTCATCTCACACGAGGGGCAGAATTAACACATACTGTGACAGTAGGCATCTCACCTAAGGGAGCAGTGCACTCATCACCGATGTCCTTCACAGCTGCCAAGGTCAACTGCTTGTCTCCCATCACCATGGTTACCAACTTCTGCCATGTTGAAACTGACAACTTCAAAGGAATCACAATGCCATATCTTGAGTCATCAGTACTTTATAAAGGTCAATAAATTACATTTGAGATTACTGCACACCTACTGTTAATGTTAGCTTTTTTTTACACTGTTTCTTCACACTGATCTCTCTCTAGAGTGGTCAGTAAGCTTCTAAATATGACTCACCATAGTGACCTTGTGACCTTGACAAATGTCACCTGTTGCAAGGTTTGTCAGTGTAATAGAGATTCCAGGTAGAAATGATGCAAAACAGTCTCCCATCTGCTGGTGCATTGAACTGCTACCCTCTGTAAATGCAATTCTTTGAATGCAAGCTGGCAACAAGCAGCAGCAGTTTCTGTTTCTCCTTTGCTTATAACATTAATTTGTGCAATAATTTAGTCAGTTATGTTATTGGATGTGCATTGCACCAGAAACACCCACACACTAGCAGAACAAGAAGAGTAGGAATACAACAGCTTATTTAGAAATAATGGTAATTTCACTAATTTGCAACGTGAAACACAGGACACAGATGTTGGTTGTACTGTACAAAATGCTATATTGCTTGTGGCAGCAAGTTTAACCTTGAATTCGCCAACACATGACCATGGGGTTATAAACACAGCTGGTGACTAACAGGTTAACAGTGACTGAAATGCTCTAGTTTTTGATGTTTTTGATGTTTTAAAATGATTTGAATGAAATTGAATAAATTGAATGAAATTGATGTTTTAGTTTTTGATTACAACTACTACAAATCCTAATTTAGGAAGACCATCTAAAATTTAGCAGGACCACCTAAATTTCAAACTACCACAGGACCATCTCTTTTTTACTCCTTATTTCTACCCCTGTCTATGCTCATCAGCATCACCTTGACATTGGCACTGGAGGAGCGTCGCGAGCAGCTCCAGAGCTTCCAACTGTAGCTGCCGGCTGCTCTCTTTCTCACAGACTCTCAGCAGCATGAAGATGGCATGGCCAAGCGCAGGCAAGAATGCGCAGCAGTATAGCCTCTCCAGAATTCTGTTAGAACAAATTTCAACACACCTGTATGGTCTAGGCAACACCGCTGCAGAACAATGACCAGGCAATGACTTACGCAAGGTCGTTTATTAGGTATTTATCAGTAATTTTTTAATTTCACAATGATACCTCTTAGGGGACTATACCAAACACGGAGTTTGATGTCGACCAGATCAGTAGATCGACACTACTAATAGAAGCAGGACAGGTTTCTGTCTCACTATAGATGATAAGGAAGAGTTCTGGTAAGAAATTATTCGAAACAAAAACATTAAATTTAAATGGGCTCTTTGAGGACGAAATATGGCGGAAACAGCGCTCAGAGGGACCGGGTAAAACAAGATGATTTCATCAAGCAAAAGGAGATACCAATTTTAAAACGATCATTGCGAGAATTTTGCTCAGAAAAACTAAATATAGCTGAATATAGTCTCACCTGACAGCGAAAATATCACTGATTACACCAACATTCAAAACACCAATATTTTATGCAGTTATAGCATAGAAAAATTGATTTGACCACATCATACCAGCAATAAATTTTTTCCAGTCAGGACTTTCAAAAATCACAAATATCGTCTCAAACAAGCGAACATAATTAAAACAAAGGGGCATCTATTTGTGTGTGATAAGTATTCTCGCTGGCCGTACGCAACGAGGCGCAGCGGAGAGTGTGTGAGCGGGTGAGCACAAATCAAACAACCATGGAAGCAGTCGCTGTCGGTCGTGTACTTTTTTACAAATTCGGAGATTGTCCCACTGCAATCCAGTGTTGATATATCGATTTGATCCACTTCTCTCTCCGTCTTCGTTATAGTCCCTAACACTTTTGAAGACTAATATTTATGAGGTTACAACTTACACTCTTGTTTGTGTTACGCTACTATGCACCTCTGTGTTTACATCTGACCAAAAATATCTCCGGTGCGATTTTTGCATTACTGCACCCTTGTTGGTGTCTCGCGGTACCGCGAGAAAGTGCGAGACATGACAGCGAAAATCAACAAGAGAACGCAAAATTGTAATCGTGCATGATTTTGTCTTTGCATGAGGTTCTAAGACATTTTATTGTTAATTCAAACAATTACTGTTACTCAAGCAACAACGGTAGGCATCATGAGAGTGACAATAAACACTAAAAAACGCTGAAAAAAACTCGCAATGATCGCTTTAACATAGCCATGATAAATCTTGTAAAAGTCTAGGAGCTTGGGATAAAGACAATAAGCATGCAAAAATCAAAAGTGAAATTAAAACACCAAAAAAAATCATGAATTGTGGTTCACAATTCTAAATTTTAACAATAGGGCCACAATAATATATGAATTTATATCATGACACTTTCATTTGGCAGCTATATAAAGTCGTTATGCACATCTAAACATACCCTACAGTAGAGTTCGTGATCAACACCTTTAGACAAGCAATAGTGGCCAATTTCAGTTCCTCACTCTTCTCTCTGCCTTCTGTAATTTTCAATGAAAAACGTACACAAAATATTTTTATACTTTTTCTAGAGAAAACTAACAGCCAACATCATTTTTCCATAGAAGTGAAGTGTTAGATTTTCCAGGTACAATATATAGCAAAGTAAATAACAACTATTTATAGCTGTGAGTTCACATGCTTTCTTGCACTAAGAGATGCCTTTAGCAAGGTTCGACAAGGTAATGAAAAAACACTGAGTGAATACGCAATAAAAAATGATTTATTTTCCATTTTTCCAATATAATGTAGCATAATAACTTTCACATTTCTGGCAGCAAATCTGCTTCTCTCGACAAAGTGGAAAAGCGTTAATTTCGATTCTTGGATTCTACAAAAGTATTGCACAATTACTTGAGAGGAAGCACTGCGAAATGCACCAACAGAGCACTAACCAGTTCCACCCTTCTCGTCGGGGGATCCGAAAATGAGGCAAAGCTGGACAAACACATCACGGAACATGTACCATTCGCTGACCTCCCCGCAGCCTAACGTTTTACTGATGCACTCCACAGTCAACTGCACCACATCATCCTGGCTGTAACAACAACAACAACAACAATAACAATTATAATAACAGGGATAGCAACAACATCAACAACAGCAGGGATCTACAGTATTTCGGCAGAAGTAATGTAAATGTAACTAGTTAAAGGGAGAGTTTACTCTAGGTTCTAGGGTTATTTTCAGCTAATTTAGGTTATAATTACACTACATAAAAAGTTTCATGGTTAATCAGGTTCAATCACCATTAGAAATATTTTTTTTTAATGTTTTAAAACTAATGATTACAGTTTGATTACAACGACGATGGCGCCACTCAAAGCGCACGATCTGATAAGTTGCGCAAAACCACTTTCCAGCCAAGGGCTACAGACCGAGGGTGTTTCTTATTTATTCATTTAAAAGCAAAAGGATTGTAATATCTTATAAACGACATATAGTTTCAGTTATAATATGGATAAATTTGCCCTAAAATGAATATCGTTCGGTTAAATAGCATTTAGGTATAAATATAATTGCACTTTTGTGATTAGCCCTCGGTCTGTAACGTGCAAAATAAATTGTCAAATACGCAAATTTTTCGGGGTGGCAGCACAGTCGCGAGTGTCATGGCGCCGTTCAAATTTCGTAGCGTTGATGTGCAATTAATTATAACAATTAAATTATAGGTATCTGGTAACAAATATGTGTGGGTATAGACGATTTGTTATACAGTAAGTACAGTTGTATGCAGTAAAATCCTAGAGGCTACTGTCCCTTTAATTCCCATGGTATACCCATACTTCAATATATACATTTTAATAAACAACTTACAGTTACATGTGTAACTTGACAGGAAGTCTGTACAGTGCAATTAATACGAGTTATGTATCCATATACCTGGTGCCTTTTTTCAGAATCAAACTGAGAGGAAAAAGGACATATTCTTGCAGGTCACTCAGCGCTGAGTTCACGGTGTGCAGTTTACATTTCAGTGCCGCCAAGCTTTCCACTGTTGCATGCTGGGATACCCTCACGCACAGCGGTCGAAGCTCACCAAAGGCCAAGCTGATTCGTGCATCCCTCTCGCTCTCACCGTCCATCCCGGAAGGTGTCTCCTTAGACCCTTCACTGTAGAACAAAAGCAAACTTTCCGCATCAATTACTATTATACTACATTTTTTATCACACCCTGAATTGGTAGCAAACTGAAATCTTAAATTCTACAGTACAGGGAATACCAGCAGCACTATCTTTTACCGTTTTGGCAGTTTTGCCCTAGGCCTAGTTACTTTACTTACTAAACTGTTTATGTGATAATGTGCTAAACAAATCCGGCTCTTTTTTACGAAGTTATCTGCAAGCTCAGTAGACGATTGGCAGCCCGGATCCACGCGAAGCGCGAACAACGCCGCGTAGCGGCACACTGAATTATATTCGCTGCACTGTTTCGAACACCTTCCTCAGTTCCCTTTGGGTATAGGACAAAGCCCTATAATCGCTCAATTGAGCAGTTGTGGCGATTCCACAACCCTCTTCACTAAGCACGTAGGTAGAGATTTCATACAAATGGTGGTAATTGTTGGTTTGCTGCTCGGCGCGCGTCGTTTTTCTGTAGAAAACGAATTTACCATTTTTGCTGTTTCATGTCCTGACATTATTTTACAACTCATGGCGTCCAATAGATGGCGCAACGAGTCCATGTACATAGCATTTTCAAGTCGTTTTTCTACACAACGCTCAGCTCACTCAGCTAGACTGCTACCCGGTGGACAGTTCCACATGCTAGCGTAACTCACTTGAGTGTAGCCAACGATAATTGGCTGAGTGAAGGTCGGTACCAGTCTAGCCCTGCAATCAACTTCCCGTATCTATCTTGAAGAGACCAATGTGATGTTCTCATGTTTCCAATTATGTTCGTTTCAAAGTAATATAATTATGTGGGTGCAGATGTCATGTTATCCATTGTAGTCACGTGAGCAAAAAGTCAAAAGCAACAGCACATTTAAAGTTTGGAGGATTTTTACAATATGATAACTATTACATTTCTATAAGTATTATAGCTCATAATAAGCAGGAGATATCAAATAATTATGTTACAATCTATTCTTAGCATTTTCAGTTGACAACTTATTTCTATATTCACTATCTCTCCCCTGAGACCTACTATTTGCGTACGACTTTGCCTGCTCGGCCGGCAGCTCTGCCGGCTATAACATAGAGTCAGACTCGTACGTGCTCCACAGTTTGGTACAAGGATAGAGAGCATGGCGACACACTGTTTACTCGACTACACAAGAAATTGTGTTTACACAGGTCTTCACTCAGGGTCATACAATTCTATGCACACCTACGAATACTTCTATTACTACAAGTACATGTTACAATAATGACTAGTACTACTACTACTACTACTAGGCCTACTACTAAGTACTAGCACTACTACTACTAGTACTAGTTACTACTACTAGTACTACTACTACTAGTCACTACTATAGTACTAGAGCTAATACTACTAGTACTAATACTATATAGTATAGTACTACTACTACAGCTAGTACTACTACTAGCTCCAAAAAACGGTCTTTGTTAGGGTTAGAATACCCCTATACTAGACAACCCCAGCTTATATAGGAAGCAATTTACTCTAGCTAGTTCCTGATACTGACAATGACAATGGCAGTGGGGGATTTCCGTCTCTCCACACAAATACACACACACGTGCGTATACATGTATGAATGCACGCAGTCACACACCGACGCACGTACGTACGCACGCAGGCCGGCACAGACATTTGTATGGGTGCATGTATGTGTTTGTATGTGTGTCTGCGTCGCTGAGTGCGTGCGTCAATGTCTTTAAAATGTTCATTAGGAACAATTTTTCAGAAGTCACAAAAATCCGTTTCCTCAACAAAATTATGTTTTAGCCTAGCCAGAAGTCATAACATAAGTATGTCATCTAACACGCACAATTCACAGATAATACCAGGAGCTATTGACCTATTGACAATATTTGTGATTATTACCTGCTCATTGTTTGTATATAGGCAGGCTTTCAGATTTGAAAAGTACAGGACTACTAATGACTCCCCTAGGACACCATAGGGAGTCTTTTCACGCTCCATAATCACACCCTTAAGAGGCATGATGGAGAGCTCCACTAAAAAATCACACCCTTAAGAGGCATGATGGAGAGCTCCACTAAAAAATCACACCCTTAAGAGGCATGATGGAGAGCTCCACTAAAAAATCCCACCCTTAAGAGGCATGATGGAGAGCTCCACTAAAAATCACACCTTTAAAAGGGATGATGGAGAGCTCCACTAAAAAATCACACCCTTAAGAGGCATGATGGAGAGCTCCACTAAAAAATCACACCCTTAAGAGGCATGATGGAGAGCTCCACTAAAAAATCACACCCTTAAGAGGCATGATGGAGA